AGGGTATGTCTCCACTTAGAAAGCATTCATAACTGATACCACCACCACCTACTGGCGTGTTTTGCTTCCTGAGCCAACATTCAAGGAAATGCAATCAGGGACTGCCGAGCTCTTATGGTGTGAACTCAAACGGACCAGCATACAAATCAGGATGACCGGAACACATGGGACAACAGCCATCGAAGCTTCTGCTGTAACACAGCCTGCACTGCCACCAACGCCACCTTTCTGTGCCACTCTACTATAAACCTTTGTTTTATGTCTGACGCCATAGGAAGTGAGATTCAGAAAGACGCATTGGTGTGAAACCGCCGCTTCTCTATGAGGCTTTGCTTCTTCCATTTGCCCTCAATACTTCTACAGTTAAGATACACAGACCTCAAGGAATACAGAGCCAGTGAAGGACTGTAAAAGGTATCTGTTACCTGGTGAAAGTGGAACTTACTACAGCATGAAAAATGTCAATTAATTTAGAGCAGAGGGATTGTGAATCGATAGACACGGGCTGGGCTTACATTTAACTCTGCACCACAAAAGCTGGATTATGAAGAACATTTATCGCCTAAGAAAGTATTTCAAGTACTTTTTTCTGAAACGCTAGTGACACCAAAGCTTTGGGTTCATGGACCAACTATAAATGATTTTAATCCACTCTTTAGAGCAGGCCCAGGAGGTGGTGTATGTAGCCGTAACCACCGTCCTGTGTCTTTATATACATTATGTCTTAGATGATAAAAAACAGTAAGTGTAACTGGTGTTTCACTAATGCAGAGCCAACTTGGCCAATCAGGACTCACTAGCATGGAAGGACTCAGTGGATTACGTTCTTTCCTCACATCAAACCCCATTTCAAATACTCTGAGCTGTGACAACGGCGACCAAGCCCTCTGTGTCCTTTAGCTCCCTGAATCCTCCCTGGACTCCACCGAGGCTGGTACTCATACTAGACCCATTTCATGACAAGCAAAGCAAGGCTCCGAGAGTCAGGTCCTTCCCCTGTATCTCACCTCGGTGAAAGGGAGAACCGATTCAAGCCTTGCTTACTCAGCTCTGAAGCCATTCCCCCTTCAGAAACAAACCACTGTCAAGTGTGACTCCAGTGACCAAGACTTCGATCCGCATAATACCCTGCAGCTGACACGGGATGTGTGCAGCCTCCTTGGCTACCTTCAGGGCGGCACAGAGCATAGGTGGTATACCTGCAAGGCACTCCAGGGATGGCCACACTTCAAAATTTCCAAAGAGCCCCCCTGACTGTTGCCACGTCACCCAGGGAGGGGAGCGGAGGAAGAGCTGTGGGTTTAAGATAAGAATATGTGAAAGGAGCAGAATTCTGGATACATTTCTTAAAGCACAACTCCATTCATTAGCTGCATCGGCAGGGGTGGGACAGGACTTTTGGTCTGGGTACTTATAACCTCATTCGCAGGCCACAGAATTATCACCTTACAAACCAGCCTGCTATGGACTTAGTGAACGCTGAGCCCCTCCTGCACTTGCCTCGGCAGGGCCAGACCAAAGGATTTGGAGGGTCTCACACAGCCTGGACATTCCCCACCCCTGCTGGGGCCGCCCTAGATGGGGGAACACCAAGAAAGGATCCCTCCCAGTCGTAAGACGCCAAGACCGAGTCCAGTGGTGGCCAACTCAAGTCCCAGGGGTACGCAGGACCTTGGCAGGATGGAACCAAGGGCCCGCAGGCCCTTTCCTGGGAGGCTGAGCCAGCCTTCGGGCCTGCCCACTGCCCGAGACCTCCACTCTCCTGAGACGCCAGCCGAGGGTCTAAAGAAACTCAGTGCCATGCTCCAACACAAATACATTCTCTGACTTGCCTACTTCCTGATGAGAGACCACAAAGGGACAAGGAGTTAAGCCAACAATTCTGAAACAAGAGATTGCCAAGCTTCTAAAACCCCAGCACGGAAAGATGAGACACACATCCCCTGAACGGCCGAGTGGGAGGAGGCACACTTTCCCCAGGGCCCTGTCACTAGGAGACCACCTCCTGGGGGACAACTCAACACTGACCTGTAAGTCACAGACGTTCCCGGCTCCTCCCCGGGAGCGCTGTCAGCAGAGAGAAACGTGATCCTGTGAGTCCACGCTCTGCCAAGGAGGACCAGCAGTTCATAAACCCTGGACTCACTTCGAGGGGAGAAGGCACTGTTATAAAACCAAAGATGTTCCCAAAAGCATCCATCTCAAAGCACTTCAAAAATCGAGCACTGCCAAACCCACTGTGCAGATTCAAGGCAGTTCAAGAGTTACAAGAGTGGCGTAGCCACACGGGCAAGGTGGCGCCAGGGAGCACCCACAGGTATCTCAGAAAGGGTAAAAGACTCACAGACACACAACAGCGCCCAGCGCATCGCTGTAGGGCAACAACAGGTGTCCGCTTGGAACTCTCATACTGGGAGCCTGCTGGGTCAGGGCCGCTGGATTCTCCTCGTGCTGGTCTGTCCGTCCCAGAGGAGCAGGCGACATCCATTGTCCTTACTCTCGTTTTGCAAAACCTCTACTGTTCCTTTTTTTGTTCATGTGAAGGATCATACAATTAAAATCAACTATTTTAAATGTGCTTTAACAACAACAAAACACAAATGGAAACCCAGGAGGTGAGTTAGCCCAGCAGATGAGTGCGGGCAGCTGGACGAGGTAGGAGGATGCCGGCTCCTCATCAGCATCCCCTGGTCCATCCCACCCCATCTTTCACGGAGCCTTGAGTCTAGACTTCAGCTGCAGCATTTCCCAGACTGCACTATTTACAAATGGCCTCCCCTCCTAGGTGGCCACCACTTGAACACAGGATGCTGCGTGTGTCTCAGCCATCCAGGTGCCTCTGGCCTGGAGCTGGGTACACAACAGGCCTCAGGGAACGCAGACCCAGCGAGTGACCATGGCCGAGAACCCCTCTGTCTGCAGACACCGCTCCTGCTGCACCTCACACACCCCCTCGCCTCTCCCACCAACAGAAGTGCCCTCCTTGGGTACAGTGCAGGCAGCGTGTGGCATCTAGGAGTCCGGACACGGCGTGAACTGACAGCTAGCATCAAGGAAGCCTTGCATTTCCTTTGAAAAAATTCACGAGTCATTTGCCTTCTCCTTTGCCAGCGATCTGGGTTTGTTTTGATGCATGAAAATGCTTTTTAAAAATGTACAATTTTCCCTCAAAATGCATTTTAGTAAGACGGCTGTTCCACCTTCTCCTCCAGCTTTGGGTACCTCCTGCAGGCTGCCTACTGAACCCCATCATTATGACGGGGGCCCCTCCTCCCAGCCCTCTTGTTTTTACTCCTCTTGAGCCCCTCAAGACTTGGCTCCCACCTCTGCTGCACCCTGCCAGGGCGGGGCAGCGGCTCCTGCCTGGCGGGGCTGAAAGATACGGCATGTCACCGGCACTGTTAAAATTAGTGGTTTCCATGGCCTCCGTTGGTTCAGTTGGGTTTAAGAGACACGGGGCGCCAAGGAATTCACAACAGAACTGCTGTTAACCTTGTATGGGCAGCTCCTGGGGCAGTCTCTCCAGGGATAAATGCCACTCACTCTCACACTCCCAACCCTAACCCGAGGCCCCAGAGGGTCATCAGGAGGAAGGTGCTTTCCAAGTTCAAAGTAAAAGAGCAGGAGACTTGAGGAACTGCGGGTTCTACAGAAGGAAACCTGGGCTGTCACACCCTCCTGTTCTGCCCCAGCCCCACTCCTCTCACTAGGGGACACTGGCTCCTGGGCCATTCATCTACATGAAGGCATCAAGTGAGAGACCACGGTGTGAAACTGCAAATTCCCAAGGCTTATCCCTGGGGAACACCATGGGCAGGCTGGAGGGCTGAGGAGGCAGGGAAGCCCAGAGGCAGGATTGAGGCTCTGCAAAGCCCTGTCCCTGCCAATGCAGCCAATGACTGTTTGCTCAAGAACACAACACAGGCCTCTTCACATGCAAGAATACACCACTCCCCTGAGAAACAGCCCTGGAGAGAACCAGAGAAACTGAGTGAGAAGAGAAACTCCCTAGGTATCAATTAAGGTGACATCCTGAGGACCGCTGGGCTCAGTGCATCAACAGAGGCTACTGTTGTGGGGGAGGGGACATGGGTACCTTCTGGGCCTCCAGGTGCTGCCCCACCCCCAACCCCAGCAATGCCCATGTGCTGGCGACCCTTCCCAGAGAGCCCGGGCAGGCTCCCTTGCCTGCAGTACTCTGTTCTCCAATGGTGACCAAGGAAGGGCGAGGAAGCAGAGCTACCCACTGGGGCACTGGGCTGGCATCGCCAACCATGGGCAAGGCAGAGCCACACAAAGCAAGGCACCCTTGTTCCAAGGCAGTCTCCCTTGAGCCCTCGTGATGCAGGGGCAGTCCAGGGAGACAGGGCTCAACAAACCCCTAAGTAATAAAGACCATAGTGAGGCACCAAGAAATGTATGTGCAGAAGCAGATCAGCATTCTGCATGAAAGACAGGTTCGGCGAGGCAATGAGAGGGGCAATTCTCACCTGACGGCAGCAGCAGAGAAACCAAGTTAGTAAAAGAGCCCAACCAGAGGGAGGAAGATGTGTAAACTGCTGGGTATAGATGCACAGCTCTGGGCTCATTTCTCCTACACCACAAAATCTGAACCAAGTGTGTAGAACATCCCCAGTGCAACCAAGAGGAGCCAGGGTTGCACGAAGGCAAACAGAACCACAATGGACAAAAGCCCCTCCCTGGGGGACACCAAGGCTGGGAAGCCTCTTACATGGAATCCACCGGGACACATCCACGTACAACGAGGCTGGTTTTGGGGCAACGCTTTCATGAAATGAGTAGTGCTTGGCAAGCATCAGACACACAGACTCTCACAGACACAGGCAGAAAGAATCACAGTTCAATCCAAAAGCAACACACAGAGGGGCCATCAGAGTCCAAACGCATGCAGAGAAGCCGTCGGGGAGCAGCTAGGAGACACACAGAGCTGCCTGCCACGTGGCAGTGTGAGAGTGAGCAACACGGATCCAACTGCTTACCCACTAAGGACACCAAGAACCAGGTTAAGCACGAAAAATGAGCCAAGGATGATGAGACTAACAAAATACACCCATGGCCATTCCCATCCTATCGCATCATTTACCTGTAAATGCAAGCAGATCAGTCATCAGTTATCCATTGGCTAATGAGCAGAGCCCTGGGGGCAGCTGCCAGACCACTTAGAGCTTTGGCACAGCGGAAGTGCTTCTGCAACAGGACTGGACCCAGCTCCTGCCATTTTCTCCCCCTTCCAACAAGGCCAGGTTTTGCTGCTGAAATCTACATATGCGGCCTTCCAAAAGTTGGCCCAGACTGGCTCCTGCAGCTACTGTTTTTTTTTGTTTTTTTTTTTTTTTTACCCATTCATCTGCATAATATTTGGATCCAGGCCAATAAAGCCATTATAAATGTCTCTCATTTTAGGACAGTCAAAAGGGCAAGCAATAGAAACTATTTAAATCCCAAGCAACCATGCCAATTAATTTCTGGTCAATAATCGTTCTATCACTTTCTCCCCTGAAGACTGGTGAGGTTCCAGGATCGGCCTGACCCGGGACATCTCAGCAGGAAAGCGAGTGCCCTGGAGAACACGTCAGCACCTGGCCCCCATCTATGCAGCCTGGGTGGTCTTGGCAACTGTCCTTAGGACTCTGCTTTCAAGATGAAAGAGGTGCAGCTTACCCGCTCAGTACACCAAGTACAAGATTTAGTACGAAAAATGACCCAAAGATGACGAGACTGACAAAATACACCCAGGGCAACTCCAATCCCATAGCGTCATTCATCTGCAAGAAAGAAGATGGTCTCACAGGAGCGGGTTAATAGGAGAATCTAGTAAGGAGAGAGGTCAAGTTAGAGACAGCATTCTATACGCGTAATTAACGTTGACTTAGATGCAAACCCCAGACAGTAGCCGATGCACGCACTTTACATCACACACGCACGCGCGCGCACACACACACGCCTGCATGAAGAGTCATCAGGGCTCTCGGGCTAAATAATAGCAGACTCTGGCCTTGAGTATGGAAATCGGTTGAGATTTGACCCCTTCTCACAGCAAACTCCTTGATTAAGTCATTTTTCAGAAAATGTCTTAGTGGAAGACAAAATTAATGCTTAAATGGAATCCGTTCTCTCTATTGCCCAAGTTGTTAGCACTTCCACTGCTTTTAAACTCCGTAATGGTGTAGGGCCAGCACTGTGGTGCAGTGGGTTGAGCAGCTGCCTGTGATGCCGGCATTCCATATCAGGGCGCTGGTTCAAGTCCTGGCTGCTCTGCATCTGATCCAGCTGCCTGAGAAAGCAGCAGAAGACGGCCCAAGTGTCTGGGCACCTGCTACCTACGTGGAAATCCCAGGTAGATTCCTAGGCTCCTGGCTTTGGCCTGGACCAGCCCAGGGATGTGAACTGGCAGATTGAAGCTTTCTCTGTCTTTGTCTCTTCCTCTCCCTGTCACTCTGTCAAATAAACAAATAAATCCTAAAAAAAAATTTTTGATGGTGGAAAGGAATTAGACACACATTGGTTTTCAGCCTTTTGGCTAAGGTCAAGTGTAATTAGAGAGACATACTTACAATATTTGACTCTATAAATAATAAAAAAAAAACTCTCCTGAAATCACCTTCCCCTAGAGGCTGACCTATTTATCCAAGGACACCTAACCCACCTGCTCCCAGATCACCTGCCATCCATGAGAGCAAGCTCAGTGAAACACATGCAGGCAGTAAGGTTTTTCAGAGGCCAACTAGTGACACAGGAATATACAGGGTGCTTTGGCGCAGGGTGAGCCTGCTCTCAGTTGCACCTACAGAAAGGATCCATTAGGGGCCGGTGCTGTGACGTAATGGGTAAAGCCTCTGCCTGTGATGGCCAGCGTAAAATATGGGCACTGGTTCGATTCTCAGCTGCTCCACTTCCAATCCAGATCCCCGATAACGTGCCTGGGAAAGCAGCAGAACATGGACCAAGTACTTGGGCCCCTGCACCCACGTGGGAGACTTGGATGAAACTGGCTCCTGGCTTTGGCCTGGACCAACCCTGAATGTTACAGCCATTTGAGGAGTGAACAAGCAGATGGAAGATCTCTATCTCAGCCTTTCAAATAAATAAATATAATAAATAATAAATCTTTTTTTTTAAAGTGGGGTGGCAGAAGAGGAAAGAAGCCCTTAGCCCCTAGACCTGGCTGCGACCTCGGGAGACTGGCTCCCGCTTTGAGCTGAATGGGATTAGAGGTGAAAGGAGGGCTTGACGGGAGGAACCCCTGCATCTAGAGGAGCTCCAGCTGCATGTGTAGACAGGGTCTCTGCCAGACCCTCCAAGAGGAGTGCGAGTGAGCAGCTTCCAAGCTGGAGCCAACAGGAGCTTTACGAAGCACAGCTAGACGAACATTCCAGCAGCACCGGTAAGGGTTCAACTGGGCAAACACCTCTCCCTGGAGTGAGAGGCAAGGACCAGCCAGGGGACAGAAAGAATGGACCCAGGCTTGACCCTGTTGGGAGACCCCGAACCTGGCAGATCCGTCTCTTGTTCTGCAGGTGCAAGCCCTGAGGGCCATCAGGGTGCTCTTGCCCACACATTATCTGGCTCCCACCTCTAGCTTTACAGAACGAAGCTCATGCATTTCACAATGTCTGCTTCATGTAGAAGTCAAACAGGAAAAGAGAATATTTTGAAAAAATTTACCTAACATCTGTTGCTGCAATCTGAGAGAGAGGCCATTAAATCCCTTATGAAACACCTGCTTAGCCACATGAAAATAGATGTGCTTAATAGAACTCCTATCAGTCTGCACATCTCACACTGGCAATTAGAGTAATGGATGAGCCAGGGCCGTGGCTGCAATTGTTGATCCAATTAAGCTGGATAAACTAATTTCAGCAGGAAGGCAAAGGGTAATTCTTCCTAAGCAACTACACCACTAAACTTAGTTTGAAAACCCGTATGTGGAGAAGCAGCAGGCTGCTGGGCACAATGGCCAGAGCCCAGCTTGGAGGGAGCACCTAGGACCGAGACCTTGCTGGTGGCACCGAGGTACGCATGGCAGGGAGGCATCCCATATGGACGCAGGTTCTAGTCCCGGTTGCTCCTCTTCCAGTCCAGCTCTCTGCTGTGGCCTGGGAAGGCAGTGGAGGAAGGCCCAAGTGGTTGGGCCCCTGCACCCGCATGGGAGACCAGGAGGAAGCACCTGGCTTCTGGCTTCAGATCGGCGGCCATTTGGGGGGTGAAGCAACAGAAGGAAGACCTTTGTCTATGTTTCTCTCTCTCACTGTCTAACTCTGTCAAATAAATTAAAAAAAAAAAAAAAAAGAAAACCTCGCTCATCTTCAGCTCTGAGAAGTCAGCTGGCTAGGCCGTCTGTCTCCAATCCTCTTTTGGGTCTCAGGTTGGAAGGGAAAGTTTTCTTAAAAAATCAAAAAGCTTTTAATTTCTGGGAAATAGGTCTTCATCAGATTCACGTTTTCTTGAACCACAAGCGTCACCTAGAATGATAAACAGGGACCCAGAAGACAGGCCACAGCTCAGCCAAAGCAGCCAGAAGGTGGGTGACATACTCAACACGGTCCCTAGTCTTTCTTCCCATGTTATCTTCCCAGCCAACTCCCTCTTCAGAGCCAAGTATTTCTTAGACCTCACTCTACACACAGGAGGCAAAAGTTAGAACTGCCAGGCTCCTCCAAAAACTACCCCTATGAAAATAGACTCTGCCTGGGACTCTGGGTGCCTCGTCTTGATCAACAATGGAGAAACCACAGTGTGACCAGAGCACTTCAATTACACTTTAAAAATACTGACCTCTGGGGCCGGCTCTGTGGCATAATGGGTAAACCTGCTGCCTGCAGTGCCGGCATCCCATATGAGAGCCGGTTCAAGTCCTGGATGCTCCACTTCTGAGCCAGCTTCTGCTATGGCCTGGGAAGGCAGTAGAAGACAGCCCAAGTCCTTGGGCCCCTGCACCCATGGTAGAGACTTGGAAGAAGCTACTGGTTCCTGGCTTCTGATAGGCTCAGCTCCATCCATTAAGGCCATTTGGGGAGTGAACCAGCGGATGGAAGACCCCCCCCGCCCGCCTCTCCTTCTCTGTTTAACTGTAACTTTCAAGTAAAATAAATAAATCTCTAAAAAAATTACTGATCTCCAAGTCACAATGGAATGTCACCTGGTGCCCAAGAAACAATGTTCCATTTAGTTTCAGTATTCCCTCATTTTAAAAGCTGAAATGCACCTACATTTCCCAAATTAAAGGCCAATGCAGGAGGACTTTTGTGTTTTCTAACTGTTGCACACCTGATAGACTGGCCATGGCTCCCCAAAGCAGGCTATTAGAAGAAAGGCAAGCCCTCTGCTGATTGCCCAGACAGGGATTTCCCAGGCATGGGGAAGGAGGCCATGAGCACTTCCGGCCAGGGTCTGACAGAGCCACCTGCACAGCTGTGTGCAGCATTAAGACAGCTTAGCACTAAGGCAAGAGGCCATCCATGACTAGAGATGGACAGCTCTACTGCTGAAACCAGTATTTTTTAATTTCCCACATTCAGAAAAATCCATCTGAATTGAAAAAATAAAGACTTTCCTCCAAGTGGAATAAAAAAAAAATCAAAGCATGAATCTAATGGTGCGTCTAGTAGACAAGGAAACTAAAGCCCAGAGGGATCAATGACTTATCCAGGGTCCCACAAGCAGCCTGACCCGGCCTTCATGCACTTTCCCTGCCGCACACCCTACCGCCTACGTAAGCCAGAAACACACAAACACATGTGAGTTCAATGACATGTCAATCACATTTGTGGAATTCACTTCATGGAGGAGCTCTGGGACCCTTGTTTTCCCCAGCACTAGCGTTCACGAGCCCACTCCCTCCCCATGTAAAAGGTTCTCTGCCTTCCTGCACGGAGAATCCACCTGCACCTCCCTTCTCAAGCCCCTGCCAGCCTTTGCCAGGCACTACTGAGAATTACAGCGTAAAGGAGCTGCAGAACAGTCCCTCGGCTAAGACTCTGTCCACCATACACAGACACCTACAGGACTGGGAACGTTGCTCTCAATCAATACTTAAAATCTAATCTCCTGTATCTCCCCCAAGATGTTCCCTTTGTTCCCTAGTTGTGGGTAAAAATAGCTATCCCGACGTGGCCCACTTACACGAATGAGGCCACAGGCTGGGTCCACTTGAAGGATGACCTCGCCCTTGCTGAGCACCTGCTCCATGCCAGGCACAGTGCTGGGCCGGGACGGTCTGTCCTGGGACACAGCTGTGTGGCTTCCAGTTGACTGCGGCCCATAAAGCATCATGAAGGCTTGGTTCCTTGGTGCCTGCCTAGCTCTGTGATGAACTAATAAATGTAATCAACAAGTAATTAAAAACAGTCCTGATGTGTTGCAGAGAGTAAGAGCTTAGAAAACACTCTGGAAGACATGATTCAGCTGCCCCCTAGTGTTCTCTAAGGATTCACTAACTGTTGATGAGTGAAAGAATGCCAAGGACTCAGAGCCCGGGTCCAGTCTACAGCAGAGAACCCCACTGGCGGGCCAAATCCAGCCTGTTTTTTACAGCCTTCATGCTAATAGTTTTACATATTTTTATATGTCTAAGTGGTTGCTGGTAAATAAAATCCAAAGATATTGTCTAACTCATGAAAATCCAACTTCAGAGTCCCTGAATGAAGACTGATGGGAGCAGACATTAGTTCATGGGTTGTCTCTGGGGGCTTCTGACCTAGAGCCCCAGAGTTGCACAGTTACAACAGAGGCTGCAGGGCTGGCTAGGCCAACTATGTTTCTTATTTGGCCCTTTTTAAAATAAATCTGCATGGAGTAGGTGTTTGGCTCAGCAGTTAAGATACTGCTTGGGATGCCCACATCCCATATCAGAGTGTCTGGGTTGGAGTCCAGGCTCTGACTCCTGACTCCAGCTTCCTGCTAATGAGCACCCCAGAGGCAGGGAGTGATGACTCAAGGAATTGAATCCCTGACACTCACACAGGAGAGCTGGCTGCAGCTCCCAGCTCTGGCCTCGCTGTCCCAGCTGTTGCAGACATTCGGGGAGTGAAGCAATGGATGTGTACACTCTGTCTCCCTGCCTCTAAAGTCAATTTCTAAAGTCTCCTCTTAAAAGAAATGTACAGAACCCTATTCTGGACAGAGGACCACCAACAGTCACTGTAGAACCCAGGAAATGTACAAGCGGTTCTCTACTGTCTCCACCTTTAAGATCCCAGACCTTCTATTAAGGGATGCAGACTGGGATTCTGTTTATGAATTACGAGCTCCTCCGTCAGAGCAAAGATGCCATGTAATTCATAGAGAATGTAATTATATTGTCAAATTATTAACTATGTGACTGTCATATCAACAATAAAGATGACAATTCTACCACCCTAAGTGATGCTTAAAATTTCCCAAGAAAGCCAGTAGAAACCTTGGTTTCTGGGCGTTGGAGTTCTCTCTCCTTCAGTCACAACACTCCCAGAGCTGTCACTGCTGGACAGCAGGAAAATGCTGAGAGAGGATCCATGGGCTGACACACACAGCCTCCAACTCCCCAGGAGCCACAGCAGGTTGGATCGGCAGCTGAAAATTCTCCATGACGATGGAGGAGAACAAAGCCAGAGGAGTCACAGATGCTTATTTTTATAAAAATCAAATTGTTGTTTTCTGCATACTTCAGGGGGAGAGAACCAGAGCTTGGGTTATTTGAATGGTGCTTTTTCCATTTAACTGAAATTTCAAGCAAGGCCAGGATTGATCAGCTAATCTGACCAGAAGTTGTTTTTCAGAAGACAATGGTGAAAATCAATCTCTGACCTAACCAGAGGCCCCCACTGAATGGCCTTGGCTCATTCAATACAAGCCCTTACCTTCCTCTTCATGCAAACATATTAACTCACAAACATGAATGACACTCACACACACTCACACACTCACACTCACAACCTACAACAATCAGAAAAGGAAGGGAAGACAGTAAAGAAGATGTAACATGTTGGTGATGTTTAAACCTCATCAAACTAGACTCACATTTTGGGGACTAAAGATAAAAATCTAGCTTCCTTGGCTAACCTTGCACACAGAGGGGCTTCTACAACCCTGCAAGTTTAATGCTCTCTGGTGAAGGGAAACAAGAATCTATTTATAACGAGTATATATTTCATTCTAAAGTTATGGTAACATGACATCCATTCACATGTCTACTATTCTGAAACTGTTAAAGCTGCTTCTCAGTTTGTAAGTCTTCCAACTAGAAGCTGCCAGTTCAAGGCACTTTACTACTGATTTCTTTTTAACAATTCATTATCGGAATCCTGATAAATTCCATTGGTTCTTATAATGTTAGGAGCAAAAATCTATGCTAGCTGTTTCCCCCAGCTAGTCGTGTACCATGGTGAACAATTTTTAAATTTCTGCAAGCTTTCAGAGTCAGCATGGGGGGCCGGCTTTGTGGCGTAGAGGGGTAAGCCACCATCTACAATGCTGGAATCCCACATGGGAGTCAATTCGTGTCACCGCTGCTCCATTGCTGATCCTGCGCCCTGCTAATGGCCTGGAAAAAGCAGTGGAAGATTGGGCCCCTGCCATCCACACGGGAGTCGTGGAAGAAGCTCCACCCTCCGGGCTTCGGGCTGGCCCACCTTCAGCCATCGCAGCTATCTAGGGGGTGAAAAAGCAGATAGAATATCTCTAATTCTTTCAGATAAAGAAATAAATTTTTTTTAAAAAATCACCTTGGGGAAATGGCTGTTAAAATACTATAGCACTTCATCGCAAACCCTTCTGGCTCCATCAGGAATGAGGGCAATCAGATGGTAGCCATTAGAACAGTGTCCAACTATTTTCATGGTGGCTTGGCTGGGTCCACCAGCCCTGGGAGCTTGGCGTGCCATCTCGACCTGAGTTCTTTAGCTCCTAAGTCAGAGGAAGAGAACCCAGGGCTTGGCTAGGCTGATTTACAGTCAGGCTAAAGATACAAAATATAATAGGGAAAGCCTCATGTTGGGTTCAAGAGTATACTGTTTTATGGGATGCAGCAAAGGTATCCAATTTATGTTCCCTATCTTCCCTTTAGGATCTAGCAAACTGTTTCTATGTACAAAAGATAAATTTTAGCCTGTGGAAGCCCAAGGGCCTATAACCTGGGTGATGATTCCCTGGGTCTCTTTAGGGTTTAATCTGGACAGCCCTGGCCTCATGGGGTTCCTCCAATGAGAACTCCTGGGCACATTCGAACACAATTCCCTAGGCCACCTTAAGCAGTGGAGGACCAAAAGGCCAGAAGCCGGGGCCAGTGCTGTGGCATAGCGGGCAAAACCGCCACCTGCAGTGCTGACATCCCATATGGGCACCGGTTTGAGTCCTGGCTGCTCCACTTCCAATCCAGCTCTCTGCTATGGTCTGGGAAAACAGCAGGAGATGGCCCAAGCCTTTGGGCCCCTGCAACTGCATGGGAAGACTTGGAGGGAGCTCCTGGTTCCTGGCTTCTAATCGGCACAGCTCCGACCATTGTGGCCAATTGGGGAGTGAACCAACGGATGGAGGACTCTCTCTCTCTGCCTCTCCTCTCTCTTTGTAACTCTTTCAAGTAAATACATAAATCTTAAAAAAAAAAAAAAAAAAAAGCAAGCCAGAAGCCGACGCTATGCAGCAGCTTCTAGAACTAAAACCAAGGCCCTGGGAGAGCAGGGCAATGCAGCTAGCTAAGTGAAGAGACAGCCAACTTCCTTTCCTAGGAACTGACTTCCAGGGTCTCTTCTCCGCTATCTCTCCAATTGCTCTAGCTCAAGCAACACCTTTACCCCAGGAGAGCAGAGTCCACACACCCTTCCCTGGGGCTGCTTACCCAATAGAGCACATCCGTCCAGCCCTCCATGGTGATGCACTGGAACACGGTGAGCATTGCAAAGGCAAAGTTATCAAAGTTGGTGATGCCCCCATTGGGGCCGACCCAGCCGCTCCTACATTCCGTGCCATTGGCGGTACACTGGCGTCCGTTCCCTGAGAACGCACACGGAGCTGGGTCCTCTTCAGCTACGATGTCTGCAAGCAGAGGAAGCAGGCTGCACCACTCAGTGGAGGAAGCTCAGAAAACCCAAGCCAGCAGAAGCCGAGGGCCCATCCCAGAGCCCAGACGATCCACCTCCCATCCGAGCTGCCTCCAGCTCCTGCTTGGCCTTCAAGGTCCACTTGAGCTGCTCCCTGCCTGATGGAGTGTAGCGCTATGCCTGGCCAGACCCCACTGCTCCTCCTTCAGCCTTCCTCCCCTCCGCGGTAACCGTCTCACCCTCACACAGCACAGTGCTGTCGGTCTGCCCCACGCTCTGGCCGGAGGAACCCCCTCCCTGTGTTTGCTAGGACACGAAACACAGGAAATCAGCGTGCAAAAGCAGGCTCAGTTCTCATCTATTCTGAACGCAATTCACACTGAGAACCGGCCCAGCAGGCTTGCAGGTGTAGTTAACAAATTTTTTTTTTGCCCATTTTGTTTTAGATTTTCCCAAAACTACAGAAGCTGTTTTTAAGAAAACCAAAATTTTCAAGTTAGGTGATTATTTTCATTACTTACCTGAGTCAGCAAAAAAACATGTTTTGTGCATTTTCCCAATAAAAAGTTCCAATCCTATAATAGCATAGATTATGATTACAAATAATACCAAAAGGGCTATGTGGAGGAGGGGAACCATGGCTTTTATAATGGAGTTCAGGACAACTTGTAAACCTAGGAAAGAGAAAAATACATTCGTTAGCCAGGGAGAGGCTTCAGTGACACACATTTCCTCAAAATGCCCCCCTCCCTTATGACATACAGTGACAAGGCTCAACCATATTTCAGTATTTAATAAGCCCGGGTGTGAGATGAGCTCAAGCGGAACCTAAAAGGTCACCTACTCCAACTCCCCCACTTGATGGAATGAAAAATTAAGTCCTAGAGAGCGGACTGCTCAGTGTCAAAGCTGGTTACTCATTTCCGCATCTGTTCGCCCGTTCAGAAAAACCCCTTGAACATCTACCACGTGCAAAGTCTAAGGCTTAGTGCTCTGGACAATAACCCTATGCATTTCATAAAGCACCTTCTCCCTGTGAGGTTACGATCCAGAAGGAGACAGAAATAACCCCAGATAGCGCTACAGCAGCACACAGGTGCTCTGAGACCAAGAACCAATCAGGTCAAATTCGAGAGGGAGGAGAGACGGCCCTGAAAAGCTTTCCCCGAGAGGGGCCTGATGGTGAAGTGGGGTGGATTCACACAGCTGGGGCTGAGGCCGAGGGCAGAGGACCAGGAGCACACAAGTGGGCGAGCACTGTGTGGACCTGGGGATGCTAGTCTTGATGAACGGTCTGAGAAGAGGTGGCCACCAGGTGGTTCTGGGTTTCAAATTCGAGTTCCGGAGCCAGACATTAGTCCATTGGCCAAAAGCAGCTCCTTTAAAAGGATGACCTGGGCAGGAGTGGTGACAGAGGCAGACAAGTAGTTCAAGATCACTGGGGCCCCAGGTAGGTCAGGATGGGACCCGAAGGCAGCAGCTGAGTTCAGGCAACAGGAAGTACCGAGGCAGGGCTCCCATATGAGGCATATTCCAGTGCCCGGGTCATGAGGCATATTCCAGTGCCCTGAACAAAGACAAGTGTCTACAAAGGCAGCCCTCCTGGGAGCTGGGTGGAGCAGGTGGAGAGGGTGGGAGCAGCTAAAACCTGCCGAGTTTGACTCCTTGGCATCACACGAAGGTGCAAGTAGGCGCCCTGCCACTGAAAATTGAGCTTGTAAGAGGAGAGACACGAGAAGGGGAGCCCTCCCCAGTGCGATCCTCAGGGCCACGGGGTGGGGAAGGCTGCCAGGGAGCAGGGAAGAGATGCTGGCAACATGCAGGACAGTTAGGGGAGGCAGCAGAGACTGAGAGAGGAGGCCGGGCAGGACCCAGGCTCCCTGACCCCATGTCAGCATGACCTCAGCTCTTGCTCTGTGCTGTTCACTCTCTGCTTTCTCTTTCTCTTTCTCTTCCCCACTGCCTCTCCATCCTTCAACCTGCCCCTTTTCTGGCTTCTTCTCCCCTTGTCCAGGTATGTCCTAAGAAAGGAAGAATGTAAGAAGCTGAGATGCTTCAACCATATATTAGAAATAAAGGTGGGTGGTGAGCCTAGTGGTTAAAACACCCGTGCATCACATCAGAGTGCCTGGCTTTGAGCCCCAGCTCGGGGTCGTCCTCAGCTGGAAGGCCCCTCAAGTGAAGAATTCCTGCCATCCACATGGGAACCCTGGATTGAGTTCTAGGTTCCCTTTGTCCCCACAGCTGGAGGCATTTGGGAGGTGAACCAGCAGACAAAAGTACTGAGTCGCTTGCTCTGTGTATGTGTGCCTCTCAAACTTTTAAACAATATAAATTAGCAATCAGAATAAGCCAAGCAAAGAATACTCTCCTATCCGCAATAACAACGAAAGTCTACCATGGTAAGCAGCACATGGTGAGGGAAGCTTGCTAAGACTTCAGATCCAGCAAGACTCCTTTTAAAAGAAAGAGATTTATTCATTTATATATTTGAAAGGCATAGTGACAGAGAGGGAGAGACAGAAAGACTCCATCTGCTGGCTCACTCTCCAAATGGCCGCAACAGCCAAGTCTGGTACAAGCCAAAGACAGAAGCCCAGAATGCAATCCACGTCTCCCCACAGGTGACAGGGGTCCAAGGACTTGGGCCATCATCTCCTGCTTTCCTAGGTGCATTAGCAGGAAACTGGATGAGAAGTGGAGCAGCCGGGGTTTAACTCATTGCCCTGACCCTATCTTTCTAGGATCTTCATTTCAACTCAAGTCCTAGGTGCTCCCACCTTGGAATATTTAAACTTTCTTTTGTGAGAGAAAAAAAAAATCACAGGATGATTTTTAGGGGTTTTGCCTCTTAAGAAATCACTGGAAGGTTAAAGTGAAATGCTTGCTCTAACCCATGTGGACTGTTTTGTTGTTGTTTCGGGTTGTTGTTTATAGACTTGGCTGAGTTATTCAGTATCATCATCGCCCTGCAGTTGGTGCTCATAAATTCACGGCAGTAAGCTGCACGCTTCGTGAATGGTCTTAGGTGTGGTGTAGCTACTGCATTTCAGATGGGTCACAGTGAGGACAGCTTCCTCTGAACACGGACATGGACACTCAGCACCTCTGTGTACCATCGACATGAGACTCGTACCCAGGAGGCCATGGGGAGGCGGGCAAAGGACCCTGGACCAGGAGCGAGACTGGGTCTGGTCCAACTTGGCTCCCCACAGGAGAACCTGCAAAGTCCCCATCTCTTTCATTTGCTCATTGGAAAGAAGATGCAGGTAGACCAGATGATCTTTAGGCTTCCATCCCATTCTGATATTGCTAATTTTAATCAACATTAATTTTTATTAAATGAATGCTCACCAACTCTGTTGTCTAAAATGCTAGCTTTTGAAATATATTTCAACGAGTATACATCCCATACGACAAAATCAGGTCTTCTAGGACAACCTGAACTCTCTTTAGATGGAACTAGACAGTTTCTAGATAAGGAATATTGAACGTTGAGTCTTTAAAAACAAAAACAAAAACAAAAGCAATTGCACACACTGCAGAAGAGATCTTAAGACCACAGCCAAAAACCACCACTAGAAACCATGTGGCCCAGATTCCTTCACCTCAGAAGCCCCTGTGGGTGCCATGGTGAACATTCCCCACTGTGGCATTTGAAATACAGCCACCAAGGTCCTCACACGACTTCACACCCCCATCTTTGCCTGATCTTTGCAACAGGGAGGTGCAGATCTCTCTCCAATTTCACTCAGCAACATTTTAGAAGAAAAAGAAAGTTTAAGAGTCTCAGGAGTAAGTGGGAGCACCATACTCGGCGGGCTCCTAAAAGCCTCTCCCACCGACGGGGGTGAGTGACGCTGTGCCAGCTCTACGAGCTTTCCCCGCCCCGACGCTGGCTCGCTCACGTGCACGCAGCACGGACCACGGGCAGGCTGTCATGCCATTTGCTCTTTGGGGAGGAAAATGCTATCACGGTTACCTCGATATTAGATTAAGCTGTAACAACTAGATCTGAAAGAACATGTTTGCTCACTGAACTCCTCATTTAATCACGTTACACTCAACAGAGCCAGTCACTTCCAAGGTATTGCTCTTTTTCTCAATTGCTTCCAGACGGTTCTGTGGTTTTGACTTGTGCTGATCTTTTTCAATGAAAATAAATGAACCATCTGGAAAAACAAGTACACATGAAACACCACTTCCTACATTTTAAAATGTTAAATTTGGAAATAGTGGTGTTTTTTCCCCCCCAGAAAATGTCTGGTGCATTCTAGGTACCAATAGGCTTAATAAAATTTCATGAAGAAATTCTGGGGAGGCAAAAACAGCAACGAGAAGTATCCTTCCGGTGACTTTGCAAGTTGTGAAAAACTGGCACGCTGCTGTCCCTGAGTCCCTCCTTGCTCCAGCTCAGGCAGGCCACCACCCAAAGCACCAGTCCCGGGACAGATGCTACGATTTCTACCCAGAGGGAGTCCCACCAGGGGGCAGAGCCCAGCAACGCAGACCCCACACTCCCTAGGAAGGATCAAGAGGCTGGCAACTCCTGGCCAAGGCACCAACAGGGCTTCTGTTCCAACTCCAGTAGGACTGCAGCTGACCTGTAGCCTGAAGCAAACCAGGGTCCCTGACGAATCTCAGGGCCTAGCAGAGAACAGCAGTAGCCCTCACTCTCCACGTGCCGCCTCCGTTCCAGGTATCGTCTAAGGCGCTCTGCCTCCATCATTTCCTGCCGTTCTTACCACCACTATGGCAGGTTCAACTGTGCCCTTCACAAGGGTGAGGAAGCCAAAGCACCCATTTCTCTCCCTAGCACCAGACACGCCCAACTCCTAATAGTAGGGGAGGCCAAGGAGTATCCCCCAAGCCACTCCCAGCTTCAACAAAGGCCATCAGCGAAGCCCTCCAACGCCCCCTTCCCCTCTTCCCTGTGAGCCGCCACCCTCAGAGGAGCAGGCAGATGACGGCAGCTGTCGGGAGAGACACCAGCCTGGAATCAGGAGGCTGGAAGTGGAGATCTCTAGTCATCATGTTCAGGGCGACAACAACCCGCAGCTGTGCCCATGTCAGAGCCGTCAAGGGGACCCAAGGTCACAGCACAAACTAGCGTGTTCTCTGGACGGTGAGGGCCTCCCCCGCCTCGCTGTGCCGTCCCACGATCCTGAGGCCCACCCAGCGGAAGAGGCCAGCACGCGCCCACCTCCAGGAAACGCAAAGTGCTTACTGGGCACTCCTGACACGAGTCGGAGAGGTCGTAGCACTCGAAAGGCACGGAGCGCTTTGACATCAAAGCCCCCTGACTTGCCGCTGGAGTGGCTCCCGCCTTCTGTTTCTTTGGTTAATTGTTCCAGAATTACACTGAACAACCTGAGAGGAGGAGGAGAGAGGAAGCAAGGTTAGAGTCTGTCGCCCAAGGATGCGGAATCGGGGTGGTGATGCGAGTTATTTCTGTACCAGGGCTAATTCTGCATGGCTGCTGCTTCAAGAGGAGGACAGGAAAACAAAGGCATGAACAGGGCAGCGAGATCTGAGCAGGACCTCTGCACCTGCAGGGGTGCGGGACAGGGGTCCACCTCGTCTGCTTTCACACCAGCACCCACGAGGACTCACGGGGGACCTGATGGATGACAAGAGGGACTGCCACACACTGACATGACGATGGCGACCTCAGTGGCCACCGTTTACAAGCGCTCAGTACGTGCTGGGCACTTTACATGTTATCTCACTGATCCTCCCAAGATGTTACACGGCAGCAATTACCACCACAGTTGACATAACGGCAGCCAACAGCCTGCTCAAGGTCACACAAGGAGAGGCAGAGCTGACGGGCGAATCCAGGCACGTGGGCCCCCCTGGCACGCGGCCTCCGTAACAGCAGGAGTTTTAGTCTGTTCTAGCCTGGCATCCCCAGTGGTGCCGGACAGAGGTCATGCTAAAAAACCACTTGATGGAGACATCAACAAGGGACTTCAGAGCCCAATGCCTGAACACGTGACCGTGCCTCCCACATGACCCCAGCCCGCCCCCATCTCGGCTTTCAGAGGGCTACTTGGAGGATGATATGAGCCCCAGCTGTGGAGCTGAGGGAAGGTGCAGAGGAGTCACCTAAGGTAAGGTGTTAGTATTATCATGTTGCCTTTTGAAATGAGAATAATATCATGTCTGGCAGCCAAAACGAATTTTTTCCTACTCTCAGAAGGTTTTTCCCGGATGAAGCTATTTTCATGCAACCCGCTCATTTGACAGTTACTTTTGCTCTTTCAAATAAATATTTATTCTTCGGAATTGTTGCTCGTTTTTCAGAATAAATATAAATTTGCCCATTTCACATAGCATCAACTCCGGCCAATCAGATTGTGGGAACGATTGGCCCAGCAACAAAGAAAAGGTTTCCAAAGTTTAATTAGCAACCAAAGCAGAAACTGCCCCGACTGGCAGGCCTCTGGACTGCCGAGACACCAAGTCCATAAAACACAGGGTGGTCTGATTGCAGCCCTGATCAGCACCGGCTGTCATTCTGGGCCATTTATGGAGCAGCCCTGTGTTTAAATAACGGCACAGCAATCAGCAGGGAACCCGGGCAGCAGGGACAGCAAGCCAGGCCTCCGTCTTCTCCAAGCTTCCAATGGTGGGCTCTCCCGGGCTACCACTGGGGAAACAGGTCAAATCTATGACAGGTCTTTCTCTCATTAGCATAGTTGTTTTTTTTTTTTTTAATCATTGAAAACCCCTGCAGCAAGGCTAGAGTTCAAAGTCTGTCCTCCAGAACAAGTTCAGAGCTACACAAAAAAACAGAGAGAGAGGAAGAAAGAAAACCTCAGGCTCGTCTGAAATGTGGAAGCCACAGGAATTCTCATCCCAAAGGGTTAGGAAAGTAATTTATGCAGGTGGTGACTTGAGCCCGCGTTCAGCGGTGGGTGTTCTGCAGCGGACACGTCACAATCTCATCTCCTTCAGCAATGTCCTTGAAAACTGGTGAAGAGCGTCCCCCGCCCCGTTTCGGCAAAGCCCGAGTCCGAACACAGGCTGGCGGCCGATCACAGACCGACCGGGGCAGGAAGGAGCCAGGGCTGGGGTCCACGCCTACAACTTCTACCAGCAGAGCCCTGCTCCTTCTCAGGGCCTCGGTTTTCCTCTCGGCAGAATCAGAAAGCTGGATTAAAGGATCCAGACCCCTACCTTCCCAGTCTCATCCTCTCCGACGCCATTCTGTACTGCTCTCTCTCACCCACAGACTATTAAGAGGGGGTCTTCCGAAACATCGTGGAAATGCATGTTATGAAAAAAGTATGCATGAATTTCATTTATTTTCTTGCACTAAAATCAACTTCTCATTCCAATTACCATGAACATTTTTGGAAGTTTCCTTGGGCCACATGCCTGAAGACAGAATCAAAGGAAAAAAGAGGGGCTTCCCAAACCCAGAGAGAAGTCCGAAGCCCCAGAACTGGGATCCCACGATCCTCCCTGACACTCCAGTGACCAGCTGGATGCTTGAAACAGGTCTTGATCGAAAACTCAGAGCAGTGGGAACAACACTGGCTTGGATCCGTCCCCTCGGCGCTCGCAGACCCCCGCGTCCTCCTGTGGCTCCATCGTCAATAGTTAGCCTTTGAGAAACAAGCACTTTCTCAACATTCCTGCTAGTGGGAGTCCTGACAAAAGCAATAGGTCACCGTCGACTTGGAACGGAAAATCCACCGGATGAAGATACAGGCTGCAGCTGGAAACCTCAGTGAGCAGGAATTGGGTTTAAATAAAAAGACGGTAATTCCACTTTTTCCCTTTCTAAAACTTTTCCTCTGATCTTTCTTGGGCTACAATGTAGCATATATTTTTAAAATTTATTTTGTACTTTTTCAGTTTATTTTTATTTATTTCAAAGGCAGAGAAACAGAGATAGATAGGAAGAAAATTCCTACCTGTTGTTTCACTCCCCAAATGCCTACCAAGCCAGATTTAGCCAGGCCAAAGCTGGGAGCCAGGAGCTCAATCGAGATCTCCTACCTGGATAGCAGGGACTTGACTACTTGAGCCAACACCTGCTGCTTCCCATGGTGTACATTAGCAGGAAGCTGGCATCAGGAGACAAAGCTGGGACTCTCTCTCTCTCTCTCTCTCTCTCTCTCTCTCACACACACACACACACACACACACATCGGATACACACATCCCAAACTCCGTCCTAACTACTGGAGTACATTTGAAAGAGGAATCTGATACTCTAAGGTTCTTTATACTTGAATAAAGACCTGTGAGTCGGTTCTGCTTTCCACTGGTCTCCTAGATGATTTTTTAAAATTGACTTTACATATAAAATATGTTCATTTAATGTGTACAATAGGGGCCAGCATTGTGGCATGGCAGAGTAAGTTACCACTAGCATCCTGTGTGAGTGCTGGTTTGAGTCCTGACTAGTCTACTTCTAACCCAGCTCTCTACTGATGTGCCTAGGAAAGCAGAAGGTGATAGCCAAGTACTTGGGTCCCTGTCACAAATGTGGAAGACCCAGCTGGAGTTCCTGGCTCCTGGCCTCGGCCTGGCCCAGCCTCAGCCGTTGCACCCTTTTAGGAAATAAACCAGCAGAAGGAAGACCTCTGTCTCTTTGTCTTTAAAATAAATAAATAAAGGATGTATACAGTAAGATGAGTTTTGACAAATGAATAACCCAAGGACAGACCACAGTCATGACACAATTATTTCCAACATCTCAAACAGCCCTCTGGAACCCCTTGGTATCACACCCAAGCTCGGCTGTAGGTACCTGTGGACAGGCTGGTCCCATGGGCTTTTCATTTCCTTACATTCATTTGCTTGCAGCAATGTTTCTGAGGTTCAGCCAAACTGATTTATTTCCACTCAGTTTTTATTATTGAATAATATTCCACTATATAGATGTACCACAATGATGTCATCCATTCACTTGTGAAGGGCTGCTTGGGTTGCGTCCAGTTCTTCTCCATTATCAAAAATGTTTTTGTGGGCATGTGTTTTCGGTTATCCTGAATATTTAAGCATAGAACTGGTAATATGGCCAGATGATAAGTATACGTTGAACACTGTAACAAACTGGGCCATTGTCCCAACATGATCACGTCATTTCTCATTTCATTGTGTATCAGAGTTCTAGTAGCTCCATATCTTGGTTAACAACTGGTGTTTTTCATCTTTTTCAACAAGGAGTCCTCCTGGGCACGCACTGCAGTCACCGTGGTGTAAATCCACGTTTCTCTAATACTAACAGGGCTGAGATCTTTGCAGGCATCGGTTTGCTATTCTTGTATCTTCTTTTGCAGAGATCTGTTCAAATCTTTTGCCCATTTCTTGGGTTCTTTTCTTACTACTGAATTAGGACTTCTTTATATATTCTGAACTCAAGTTCTCTGTCAGGTCTGTGTAGTACAGAGATTGTTTCCCAAATCTGTGCCTTGCTTTTTTGCTTTCTTCACATTGTCTTCTAAAGAAAAGTTCTTCATTTTTTGTCTTGTTTTGTTTGTTTGAAAGGCAGTGTCAGAGAGAGAGGAGGAGAGACAGACACAGAGAGAGATCTTCCATCTGCTGGTTCATTCCTCTAACGGCCACAATGGCTAAGGCTGGGAAAGCCCAAAGCTGCTTCTGGGTCTCCCAGCTGAGTGCAGGGGCCCAAGCAATTGTACCATCTTCCACTGCTTTTCCAGGCACATTAGCAATGAGCTGGATCAGAAGTGGAGCAGCTGGGACTCAAACCAGCACCCATACAGGATGCCAGTGTTGGAGCCAGCATTGTCGCGTAAGTTGAGCCTCCACCTGTAGCGCCAGTATCCCATACGGGCACTGATTTGAGTCCCGGCTGCTCTTCTTATAATCCAGCTCTCTGCTTTTTGCCTGGGAAAGCAGCAAAGGGTGGCCCGGGTGCTTGGGCCCCTGTACCAACGTGGAAGACCCAGAGGAAGCCCCAGGCTCCTGGTTTTAGATCAGCCCAGCTCCAGCTGTTGCAGCCATTGGGGAGTGAACCAATGGGTGGAAGACATCTCTGTGTCTCCCTCTTTCTCTCTGTAACTCTACCGCCAAATAAACAAATCTCTTAAAAAGGGTGGCGGGGAGATGCCACTGTCACAGGCAGAGGGTTAACCTGTGCCACAATGCTGGCCCTGATTTTGATCAACTCGGATTGTTTACTTATCTGTGTGTTTTCCATGTCCTAAGAAATCTCTGCCTACCCTGGGGTTGTAAAAAGATTTCTTTCCACATTTTCTCTTCAAATTCCTTAGTTTTAGATTTTTTATATAGGTCTGTTATCCATTTGAAAGTAATATTGAGTGGGGGGAAGAGGAAGTGGACAGAGAGAGGAGAGAGAGGAGAGGAGAGAGAGAGAGAGAGAGGAGAGA